TTTTTTTTTTTTCTGCGCACAGCTCCTTGACATTCATTGAGAAGTATACTAGCCATCCAGGCATTATTTCCCCTACAGAAATGACTCAGGTGTGGGGGTGGGGGCGGCGCCCCAGCCCGGAGGGTTGTGTGTGCTCCCCTACAAGCAGTTCCAGCTGCAGGCAGACTGTTAGGCTAGGTAGTTTCCCACCCGTTTCCAAGACCCCTCCATGTGCTGACCACTGGGAAGGACACAGCTGGGTTGCTAGAGTGTTTTAGAGAGTGGTTTCACCTCGGATGGGAAGGCCTTGAAAAGCGGCGCAGAGCCACGGGGCCTGGCTTTGCCAGCACATCTGGTGACTGGCTGGTTTTCGCTGCCATCCCCTCGAGGGGGTTGGCTACCCAGAAGACTGTGTAGCTTAGCACATGAGCCACGTGTGAAGCACAACATGATGTCCTGTCCCCGTGACATGGTGCTAGCCGTTCCCCCTCAAGCTTAGGGGCTGCTGGGAGGGGTCTAGTCTGTATAACCGAGTACGGTCGTTTTAATAAACATGCTTATGAACTGGAGTATTTCAGGTACTGGGTAACGAATTTGGAAATGAACTCTCTAATATTTCACTGTGATGTTAACTCGGAAGATTGTTGAGATTATTTGATATTAAGCTCATTAACTTTACTGAGCACAAGAGTCTTTATTATTTGTAAACCCCCAAACACTGTGTCAAAGTATTTCCAGTTATTTCTTCCTTATACAAAAGTAACTGAAACATGGAAAGAACAATGTTGGTATATAGAAATATTTATTGTTCAAGGTCTGTAATTGTATTTCAAAAGTGATGTTGTGCTCAACTTGTGAAGGGAACTATTTTCTCAGAGTTGAATCCACGTGATAACGAGTGACCCTGCCCAGAGGCCCTGGAGGGCCTGCTTTCCAGTCACCGCAGGTGGGGCTGGACCGCTCTGCGGGTCAAGTCATTCTCAGTGTCCATGCTGTCTCGAGCTGGTGGTTCATACACTCTGCCCAGGCCACAGTGTGCTCACTAATGTCATTGGGGAAAGGCTCTCTACTATGTGGCACAGTACAGGAGCCCTGGTGGGGCTGTGGTTTAGTGCTTGGCTGTTAACCGAAAGGTTGGCAGTTCAAACCCACCAGCCTCTGTGGGAGCGATGTGGCGGTCTGCCCCCATCCAGATGACAGCCCAGGAAACCCTAGGGGACAGTTCTACTCTGTGCCACAGGGTCGCGGTGAGCCGGACCCAACTCGGAGGCACACAGCATCAGCAACAGTACGTGTTCAGGAGACTACGTCCCCTGTCCCTAAAGGAATGCATTTCTAAGGCAGAGGCACTTTGCTGTTCCTAACATAATGAGTAGCAGCCAGAGGAGGTGTTTTCAGATCCGAGAACATTCTCACAAGTCAGGCACTGAGCTGCTTGGAAATCAGCTCCCCGAGTGTGGCTTTGGTAAACGTGGGGAAAGCAACGAGAGCAGTTCTCTAACAGTCTTGTGTCCATTCAGTTACTGCATTTCTCTTTTTCCAAATGCATCCTATTGGACATGGAATAGATCATAAATGTCGTAGACTGATTTGGGACTGTGTTGATGGGACCGTAAAAGTGAATTTGTCGTTCACAATGGCATCTCGGCGTAAGTAACGTCACCTGGTGCATGTGGAGGTGGGCTCTGCGACTGGAGTCAAGGCACGCTTGTGTTGACGTCCCTCTGCGCACGTGGCTCTTCCTTGAGGGTGGCTTGCTGGGTGGAGAGCCGTTGGATCCTGACTGTGCTAGTGTCTGCTCAGTAGTGGAGGGGTATGGTGGGATGGAATCAGAATACTCTGCCCCGATGTGTCACAGACTGTAATATTGTAAGGTTTCTTCACACATATATTATTCTGTATGTATCTATCTCTCAGACCCCGCCCACCCACCCCACCAGGAAACAAGCCTCATGTGTGTCTTTGACATTTATATTTTCACTCAAAATATGTACTAAGTGTTTATTTTCTCAAAACAGACTTTGTTAATTTTAGGAAATATCTCCAATTGGAAACGTGCTAACTTTTTCTGTAAATCTTAAATAAAAGGTGCTGTTCCTTCCTCTGACCCAGGACTGGTCTGTGTTTTCTGTCTTTCTCTCCATGCACTGTTTTTTTTTTTGGTTTTGTTTTGTTTGTTTGTTTGTTTTGTTTTTTAAAGCTTTGGAATTTGCTCCAGCCACAATGAGGGAAGAGCCTGGTTTGGGGATAGAGCCCTGGGCATGATCTCCATGAGCCCCTGCTGAAGACCTTGGTCTCTCTCAGCCTGGTGGGTCCACTGTGGGTGGCCATACAGGCTGCTCATGGAGTGAACAGGGCCCTGGCCAGACAGTCCGGTCTCCTGGTCCCCCCACATCCCTTGTGGCTCCCCAAGTATCCCCTTCAGGGTCACCTCAGAAGTGCTCATCACTCCCACCCAGGACTCCCTATTTGGTGGACATGTAAGATTTGGGATTTGAACTCAGAGCATTGTTTTCAGTTGCCTTTTTTTTCCTATGAGTTTTTTCAACACTAAAGTAGGAAGCAAACTTGGGGGGAGGGGGAAGGAGGGGCTCTGCACCCCCACCTCACAGTGACGAAATCTTAACAGGCGATGGTACTGCTATAGTGAAGTGATGGTTGTTGCAGCTGCTGTTCCCTGTTCCTGGGAAAGACGAGGAACCCGAGTTTAGAAGGCCACCTCCTAAGACTTTGCGTTATTAAGGGGCGTGCCCAGTGAACAAGAGAAGGGGATCTAGAACAATCAGCCTGCGCGCTGCCACCCGCCCCACAGTTTTCGTCCGAACTAAGAAAGGGCCATAGAGGAGATGGCTCTGTACTGATGCCACCTAGGAGAGCTGTGGGTAGGCGAGAACAGCGGGCAGGAGAGTAAGGGACACAGGACAGGCGGAAAGGCCCTTGAACATCAGTGGGAAGCCCACGAAACCTCCCCTGTCGACTGGTCCTCCCCTACAGCTTTCTGTCCTCTCAGTGGATGAATCTGGGAGGAGCTCACTGGCGTGGCCTTAGAGTGGGTCGGCCTGCCTGTGGGAATTTTGTGTTTTTAATGCGGCCCTCTTCTGTTTCTCCGTTCACGTTCCTTGGCAGACAGCAAGCCCATGACATAATTACTTGCTGCTGTGGTTCTTCCCATGTCTAGGAATTGTAGCTTCCACTTTTGGCTTTTGTCCCCAGCGACAAAACAAAACGTTCCACATTGGACCGTCAAGGCTTAAGAGCAGTTCAGGACCGAGCATGCCTTGAGAAAACCCCAACGTTGGTAAACATTGAACGTTGCTGCTGCTGGTGAGGGTGAAGTTTTGGCCATTCTTAATCTCTGTGTAATGGAGACACCGCACAGGTGCTCTGTCCAGAGGTGCACATCTTTTGCCCAGGCCCCCGCGGCACTCTTGTGTTACCAGAGGAGGCGGTGGTGGCCTTGCCCTTCCCACCCTCCTTCCTGGTGAGGAGGAGCGAGTGAGCAGCAAAATGCCGCGCAGTGGACACCTCCGCCTGCAGGCACAGTGCACCTGGCTGGCATGCTGGGTCTCAGGACCTCGGCCAGCGCCCTAGACTGTGCCACGACTTCGGAGCTCCCCGCCCCAGCAGTGATAGAGCGAGCAAGCAGGGTCCCTCGTAGGAAGCCGAGCCTCTGACACGGCACTGTGGACCCTGCAGACTTTGATTTGGTATTGGTATCGGTAAACCAATTGGACCTAAGGAGATGGCTAGGAAAGGGGACAATTCTCAGTCTGGAAGCCCGTCTTCGTTCACCCACTCGAGAAAACAGCATTTTCCTAAATGCCATCGATTTCATTGCTGAGGAATCTCACGGGAGTGCGAAGCAAGTCCATTTTTTGAGCCCCTGCTCCATTTAGTTGCCCAGTTGTGTTCCATCCAACAGCCCACTGAGGTGGGCGGATCCACTCAGCGAGGCTAGCTAGCGATAGCGTGCGTCTCGGAGGCAGCGACACGGGCGCTGCTTTCTGCAACTTAACTGTCCTCCACATCCTTCATCTTCAGGTCTCAGACGGCCCTGGGGACGAGCCCTCCGAGTCCCCGTGTGAAAGTGCAGATGAAACACAGACCGAAGTGTCAGTCTCATCAAAGAAGTCTGAACGTGGCGTCACGGCCAAAAAGGAGTACGTGTGCCAGGTGAGTGGGAAGGTCACCGCCCAAGTCCTTGGCTCACGGTGTCTGCATGGGGTCTGGAGTGAGCAAAGTGACCATTGCTCTTCCCATGGGACCCCTCCCAGCCCCACCTTCCCCGAGTTTTATTTTGACTGGGTCAGGCTGCCAGTGGAACCCTTGGGTCCTGCGGCCTCAGGTCACATCGTTCATTCGTTTCCTGTCATGGGTAAGGAGCCCTGGTGTTTTTAGGTGTTCTTAGGATGAACACTCTTAGGTGTTCGTCCACTGACCCATTCAGAGTCCCCTGATGGCTCCCTGGGAGAAAGAGCTGGCCGGCTATTTGCATCAGGGAGGCGGTGGTTGGGCACCACAGAGTCGGACTGACTCAGAGTCACCGTCTGCGACAGGGTAGAACTGCTTCCCCGGAGTCTCGTTGCCTGTCATCCTCACAGAACCTGAAGCTGAGCACTTCACTGCTTAAGGACTGTACCTTTGATGGCTGCTCACTAGTTTCAAGTCCCGAGTCTTTGCTTACCAAAGTCGGACGGTGGAGTGCTGCGCTTTTATAAGTTGCCTCCAAAGTGTCGTTGGAGGAGGCGAGGTGCTAGCTAGCACTGGTGTTTTGGGTCACTGCCACCATGCACGGTCAGCTGACAACTGGACTGTGGGCTGAGAGAGCCATTGCTAGATCGGTAGCCCGGATTAGCAGCCTGGTCTCTGGTGGGGAGGAGGCAGCTGCACCCCATGATCAAGTCCTTGATCAGTGTTCTGGGTGTCCTGTGCCTTTATACAGTGACCTGTGTCCAGCCCCCCCACGGGGCTCTTGAGAGCCCCTCGTTGTCCTGCCCTGTGTGAAAGGCTAACCAGTGCCCACACAGACAGCTTGCCATCTCTGGCCACATTAGGATGTCTTTGAGTTTGGACAGTGTGCTGTGGATTTTCAGATTGGATTGGAGGTGTGTTGTGCATGCTTAGGGCTCTCGTGCTGCGTTCTGTGCAGTATGAGTCATGTGCTGTTGATCTTTGACGCTACCGAGAGCTGGACGCGCACCAGTGTGCCCAGAGCAGTGCAGTTGATCTCTGAGGCGCAATGTGGGGTCGATGGGTTGAAGCCAGTTCCTGCGTCATCAGGAAGGACAGGTGCATGAAGGCGCTGTGTGAGATGTCGCTGACTGTCCTCTTGTGTCCCCACAGCTGTGTGAGAAGACCGGGAGTCTCCTGCTGTGTGAAGGCCCCTGCTGTGGGGCTTTCCACCTCTCGTGCCTCGGGCTCTCCCGGAGACCAGAAGGGACGTTCACCTGCAGCGAGTGCACTTCAGGCAAGTTCTGCTCTTGCTTTGTCCCCAAGGGCAGCAGCTAACTGTGACGTGTCACCTTGGAGAGTTGTAGAGTCCCCCCTCCGCCCCTGTGTGGAGTGTGCTCGGTCTGAGTTCATCAAAGCGTCTGGCGCTCTCCTTTCTGTCGCAGACCTGAGGCCTTACAACAGACACTCCTCACCTGCCTCCCTCGCTGCCCTCCACACTCGGCTTCTTGGGAGCACGCAGCCCTGCGCCATAGGCCTTTCCACTCCTCAGTGGCCCAACACTGGCTCTGGCTTCCTTCCTCGATGCCTTTCCTTCGGGTGGTAGGGGTTAGTCCTTCAGGGTGCGTGTGCCACCACAGCTAGCACAGCGCAAGGAGGGGTAGAGTGGCAGGGAGAAGGGCTCGGCAAGGGAGGACCCAGAGTTGAACTCACTGTAGCTGCCTCAGCCTGTGGCCACCCGGGTCCCAGATTTCTGTCAGTGCGGCAGCTGTCAGGCACACAGCTGCTCCCTGGAGACCAAGCAAAGACAGGTACCTGTGCTACTGGCCTGGTGCTCCGCAGAGCGCTGGCACTCAGAAGGACAGGGAGTGCTTACAAAGAGGCCACCTGTGTCGGAGCTGCAGTCTCAACAGACCCGACAGATGGGAGTGCCCTGCCTGTTACATTCCAGCATCTTAGGGTCTCCCATGCACACTGGGGCGAGCGGCAGGCAGACAGGCCACAGCCCTGCCCTGTTCCTGGTGTACCTGAGAAGTACTTTCTGATTCTCATTGGAACCTGCGCTGGGGTCAGAAGGCATCTGGGGTCTTGGAGAACGTCTTTAAACGAAGTGGTGTCCAGTGAAAACACCTCCCCTGCGGGTGTGCTGCTTGCCCATGAGGACCGTGAGCTGACGTGCATGACCAGTGGGTCCTCACAGTGGCCAGTTCACATGAAGAGCGAAGGCCTTTCTTCCGAAAAAGAGTTTCTTGTCTTCCAGCTTCGTGCTGATTAGTGTTGGCCCCCTCCCAGTCTGAGTAGTAAGACTTTCCTGTATTTCAGGTGAAGCTGGAACTCAAACCGCAGCAAGGTAACCCTTGCTGGCTGGGTTTTTCCTGAAGAATCTGGGACTAGGCAGCCAGGTTGGAAATAGAGCCAGTCGCTGTAGCACCACGGCTGCCTCAGAACAAGAGTTGCTTGATGCCAGTGGCTTAGGAACTACAATTTAATCCTTGTTCTTTGCATCTCTCTCTCTCTCTCTCCACCCCTTTCCTTAACTGTTTGTTAGGGATTCACTCGTGTTTCGTGTGTAAGGAGAGCAAGACAGATGTTAAGCGCTGTGTTGTGTCTCAGTGTGGAAAATTTTACCATGAAGCTTGTGTGAGAAAACACCCTCTTACTGTGTTTGAAAGTCGCGGCTTTCGTTGTCCTCTCCACAGTTGTGTGACCTGTCATGTTTCAAACCCTTCAAATCCAAGACCATCCAAAGGTACGGATGAACCTTTTACAGCTTCAGTGTGTGTAAAATGGCAGGCTCATAAGTACTTGGGGAGGTGGGCCTGGTGGCTTAGCTGTTGGGTTTGTCACCAGAGAAGGTCGACTCCACTTCTGATCTAGAGCAGTGGTTCTCAACCTTCCTAATGCCGCGACCCTTTAACACCGTTCCTCAAGTCGTGGTGACCCCCCCAACCATAAAATTATTTTCGTTGCCACTTCATCACTGTCATTTTGCTACTGTTATGAATCGGGTGACTCCTATGAAAGAGTCGTTCAACCTCTAAAGGGGTCGTGACCCACAGGTTGAGAACCGCTGATCTAGCGTCATTGTTTTTTTTCTGTTACTCAACCCAGACCAGACTAGGGTTGCTCCTGTCCCTGCCCCGTCCCCCTTCCCCACAGTCCAGATAGCATTGTAAAGGCATTTAATGTAGGAGAGGGGGGGATTTTGGGAAAATAAAGAGAGATTGTTTGTAATGGTCACTCATTCAAGAAATGCATTCTTAAATCAAATGGCATTTGTAGCTCTTGACGTTGGGCAAGTGGCATTGAGGTGGCAGGCTACTTAGACACCAGTAGTTTTCAGCCCAGTTTGCCCTCTAAGGGGTGTGTGGTCGTGTCTGTTTTCTAGGGCATGTTCCTGGCATCCGGTAGTGACCAGAGAGGCTGCACAGGATGGCCCTTCCCCCAAGAATGGTCTAGCTCAGAGAGCCGGTAGCACACAGAGGCTGAGAAATTACCGATTCATCCGAGCTTAGAATGTAGCCCTTTAAAGCTTGACCAGTCTCCCACGTTTTGTTCTTCTTGGAGCACTTTGATCTTGAGGAGTGTTGGTGGCGCCATCACTTAAGCGTTGGCTGACTGGCCGGCCTTGGGGGGAGTGCTTCAAACCCAGCAGCCACTCCGCAGGAGGAAGGCTAGGCTCTGTGTGCATAAGGGTTTGCAGGCTCAGGAAACCTCTGCAGGATGGGTTTGGGTTTTGTCCTGACAAAGTATATTTTCATGGTATCTGTGAAATGTACTTTGCCTTCCTGATCCTGGGTATTGTTTTAGTCACGGACATCAGATAGATTGCAGATTAACTTTCCAAGTTTATGGTGCTTCTGTTTACTGTCGGGGGTTGGGGGTGGGGTGTTACTGTGCTTGTGAAGCTTGTCCAGTGGGGCCTTTTACAGTGTGTGTGTGTGTGTGTGTGTGTGTCTCCTTCCAGGTAAAATGGTGCGGTGCGTCCGCTGCCCCGTTGCCTACCATGGAGGGGACGCTTGCATGGCAGCGGGGTGCGCTGTGATTGCGTCCAACAGCATCGTCTGCACGGGGCACTTCACTGCCCGGAAGGGGAAGAGGCACCATGCCCACGTCAATGTGAGCTGGTGCTTTGTGTGCTCCAAAGGTGAGGGCCTGTGGGCACCTTGATGGCACCCCATGCCTTGTTGTGTGTGGGAAGCAGCACTGTGGTCGCTCTGACTGGTGAGTGGACTCCTTAGCTGCTGCCGACCCGCTGCGGCGCTCGGAAGCCCATCCCAGCCATCGCCAGAGCTGGCTTCAGCTCTCTTCTGGGCTTGGTTGAGTACTCCTCTTAGTATTTTCCATCATTGCTCACCTCGAGGTCCGTCAGGATGTTTCTCCATGAACATGGTGCTCTAGTGGCATCTTGGGAATGACTACCGGTAGAACTAGCATTTGCTCTTAGGCATCCCATGGTTCTTTTATGTCACCATCCGAGGTGTGTGTGGTCCCTGTCAAGTGGGAGCCGGCACCCCTGGCCTCCCAGTCCTAGAGCAGCACTAACCTTCCCATTTTTGCAGGGGGAAGCCTCTTGTGTTGTGAGTCCTGCCCAGCGGCCTTCCACCCCGACTGCCTGAACATCGAGATGCCCGATGGCAGCTGGTTTTGCAATGACTGCCGGGCTGGCAAGAAGCTTCACTTTCAAGATATTATTTGGGTTAAACTTGGGAACTACAGGTGTGAGACGTAGATTCATTTGTTTCCTTTTCTTGTTAATTTGTGTTTATTTCATTCTAAAGTATTTAATGTAGTGCTTACTGCTGTCTCTGAAGAGTCTGTGAACCCTGTTTTTAATATTTATAATAGATGGTGGCCGGCAGAAGTTTGCCATCCCAAAAATGTCCCCCCAAATATTCAGAAAATGAAGCACGAGATTGGAGAATTTCCTGTGTTTTTCTTTGGGTCTAAAGATTATTACTGGACACATCAGGCGAGAGTGTTCCCGTACATGGAAGGTGACCGGGGCAGCAGATACCAAGGAATTAAAGGGATTGGAAAAGTCTTCAAAAACGGTACAGATACAGAATACTGCATTTCCAGATAGAAAATGTAACGGTTCCCTCTTTGTGTAGTTTGTTAATCCTGATTTGAGGGTTTTGAAAATGTGATTTTTATTGGAAATGACTGATTAAGAATTTCATCTGTGGATTTAAATTAGAAATTTTAAGTTAGAAAGTTTGCACATTGATTTGCTAAGGCAGAACATAGCTGTAATTACTAACTTACCTACTTTTATAATGTTTGTTGTACCTAATTTCCTTAGAATGCACTAAAGCTGATTTAAAAAATAAATAAATCATTTTATTGGGGGTTCTTACAGCTCTTATAACAATTCATTCATCAGTTGTATCAAGCACATTAGAACATATGTTGCCATCATCATTTTCAAAACATCTTTCTACTTGAGCCCCTGGTATCAGCTCCTCTATTTTCCTCCCCTCCCCCACCCTCCTACCCCTGTGACCCCTTGATACATAATTATTATTTTCCTGTCTTACACCGTCTGCTATCTCCCTTCACCATGTTTCTGTTCGTCACTAAAGCTGATTTTTAAGAAGTTATCAGTGTTAATGTACAGGTTTTCATAGCTTCCTTTCACATAGATGGAAATCTAGAGGCGACTTCTCTGCTGTGTAGAGTGGTTTCCAGGGCTTGTCCGTTCATCTTAACGTGCAACACACTGAGTGAAACTCCAGATGCCTCGCCCGGCGTTAAGTGTGAGCAGTCAGCAGGCCGCTCTGCTCGTGGTTGTGAGTCAGAATCGGGGCAGAGAGGACCGTGCGATGTTGCTGGCCAAGAGCAAGGGTCGGGCCAGAGCTGGCCCAGTGCTTGTTTCTTCATGGAGGGTCCGGGATGAGCCAGGACAGTAGGAGCTGGTGACACATGGCCGTGCAGGGCAGTAGGCATCTGCGGCCATAGACTGGCAGCTCAGGGTAGCAGGGGCTGCAGCTCCACACATGGCAGCTCAGGCAGCAGACGCATGACTGCAGAGGCTGGGAAAGGGAGGGGCTCACAGCACACAGCATGTTGAGCATGCCACCTTGCTGGGCCTCTCCCCTGGGTCCTCCTAGGCATCGGGACATGTTCAGGCGGAGGGGTGGGGATGGTGAAGTAGATCGACCACTGTGTGTCCCCTGCTGTAGTTAGCTGTGATCAAGTTTGGCAGATTGTTGGCCTAACACCCTGAGGACCTTAGTGACCCACCACCAAGGGCAGCCCCACAGGACAGGCCCTTGGCTAACATGGACTTTCCTCGTAGGGAACTGTAGTTGCTGGAGACCTTTGTCCTTGACGAGGGGAACAAAGTAGAATCGGTGTGTTCTACCTTTGTAGAGTGAGTTCCACATATGAATACCCGGTACTTGTGTTCTGAAGTCCCGCGACAGGTGGGAACTCTCGCGAACACCAGCCCAGCAGAAACCTGTCCCTGGGGAGTCTCCCATGCTCAGTACCTACCCCGGGCTCTGTGAACACTCTGCTGTTTAAAACATTTCTGAATGTTGAACCCTAATCCACGGGAAAGGGAAGCACGCATACTGGTGAAACAAAAATGTAAACGACGCTTACCAGGTAGAAGGATACGGTTGCTGAACTTTTGACTCGAGTTCATTGACGTTTTAGCATTGCAAGAAGCTGAAGCTCGCTTTCGTGAGATCCGACTGCAAAGGGAAGCCCGAGAGACCCAGGAGAATGAGCGCAAGCCACCGCCGTACAAGCACATTAAGGTGACGTGTGGGCTATTTCTGCTCGCAGTGGCGGGCACGGGGCATGCAGTCGGGCCTGCCTGCGCCTCCACACCCAGGCTGTGGTGACGAGGCGGATTGGAAGCCAGCCTGGGGAGGCACCTTGGAGGCTGTTCTCCCGCCCTGCCTCTTGTGCACAGGGCAGGGGCCATTGAGGCAGTCCGGCTTTGTCAGGAAGTGAGAGGCGTGGTCGATGGTCAGGCCACCTGGAGCCGGAGGGGCTGAGACTGAATGTCCACCAGGTGCTGGAGACCAGCTGGGCTGGAAGGTAGTTGTCTGACGGCCTCCTAGGTGACTGTTTGCAGACCATGGGCTTGGTGATTGCACTGCCTGGTAGGAGAGAGAGAGAGTGGAGATAGCCATCTCCAACCTCACAGGCTGTGGGCTCCTGGTAGGACAACTGGTTGCCTCTGGTTGTGTTCTCACGGGAGCCCCTGTCACCTCAGTGAGCCCAGGAGCTCTGGCAGGAGGCCCCTGCTCCGTCTCTCCTGCCTGCTCCTGCCTCTCTCAGCGAACGAGCACACCAAGGCTTGCGGGCCTCATCGCCGAGCCAGCACTGCACACCCGCGTGCTGATAGCAGTCAGTGCTTGCTGTCTGCTTGTCCTGCTGGTCAGTGCCCCATCTCCTCTCCCAGGGGCAGTGGAGGTGCCCAGGGAGGAGAAAGTGTGGTTGGGGTGTAGGATGTCTCTGTGATGGAGTCCTTCCTTGAAAGGGAGTCACGGGGTCAGAGTATCAATATTTTTAGGTTTTAAAAAAAATCATTTTATTTGGGGGCTCTTACAGATATTAGAACAGTCCATAACCCAATTATTATATCCAGCAAACTTGTCCATAATGTTGCCATCATCGTTTTCAAAACAGTATCTTTCTACTTGAGCCCTGACTAGCTCCTCTTTTCCCCCTCCCGCCCAGAGTTTGTTTAACTTTTGGTTGTGATTCGGGTGGCAGTTCGCAGAGCTAACTGGTGGTCTGCTCTAATGCAAGCGCACCTGCACTGTGGCGTTGATGACATTCCCTACAGTGCACCGGCACTCCTTCCACGTCCTCCCTGGCATTCCCACCTGCCTTCTCCCTGCCTTCTCAGCGTTCTTCCTGCACAGGTGCTGCCCTTCGACCCCAGGTGGTTGGCTGCTCTGAGGGTTGCATGGCTTCCTGGCCTGCCTGCTCGCCTCCTAGACAGGCCTGTCATGTTGCTGGAAGTTGAGCTACAGGACGAGTTCGGTTCCAGGACCATGCTGTCAGATACTTGCACCCCATTCCCAGACTGCTCTCTTAAGGGCGATCCCAGTTTTGTCGTACCAAGAGCCTGTCAGGAGGGGATCTTAGTTACCCATTTCTGATTTATTTTATTTTAGTTGGGGGGTTTGTTTGTTAAAATTCTCTACTTATTATTATTTGATTGCTCTTGTTCCTGTTCTCAGCTGCAGGCTTCACGAGGTAGGGGTGATACCTCCTTACTCACCACCCATCCCCGCCTCTGGCATCATTGGGCAGGAGATGCCTGCAGGGGAGAGAGCTCCCAGGTGTTGACTAGGTACCTGGCTTTGATGGGCCCACGTTCTCTCTCACGGCAGCCTGCCTGCCGGAGAAGTCTGAGCTGCCTAAGCACTAAGCCAAACTGAGGTGGGGGCGGGGTGCAGGGCTTTCCACTACAGCCCCAGGCCAGGGCCTGCCCTGGAGGCTGCTGAGAAGACAGTGAGGAGCTGCTGCCAGGACTGGGTGAGGGGCTGTGATCTCCCGACTTAGCTCTGATGCTAAGACACTTTTGAATGGTTGGGAACTCAAGTGGATGGGTCTGGGGTGGGTGTTGGGATGCCAAGAAGGCTCTGCATGTGATGTGTGGGTGAAGGTGGCATGCCTTCTTCTCTTGCAGGTGAATAAGCCATATGGGAAAGTCCAGATCTACACAGCTGATATTTCTGAAATTCCTAAGTGTAACTGTAAGCCCACAGATGAAAACCCTTGTGGCTTTGACTCGGAGTGTTTGAACAGGATGCTGATGTTCGAGTGCCACCCACAGGTCTGCCCTGCGGGCGAGTACTGCCAGAACCAGTGCTTTACCAAACGCCAGTACCCCGAGACCAAGACCATCAAGACTGATGGCAAAGGCTGGGGCCTGGTTGCCAAGAGGGATATTAAAAAGGTAGGTGTGGTGCGGACATCAGCTGAATAGCCGTTTGGTCAGAATGGCCTTTTAAACTTATACTGAATGTTGTATATAGCAAAGTAAATTCACTAATTTCTTCAAACTTGTCCAGTTAGAATTCTAATGCTTTCTTTGGGAAATGACAGATTTGAAAAATAACCCTTTTCCTAGACTAGCAGCCAGGAGCCAACACCACCTAGTAAACAGAAGCCAGGCGGGGAAAGCTAGTCCTGGGGAGATGCACGAGCTGATCGCAGTGCACGAGGTCCTCAGATGGGACCCCTTGCAGTCAGTGACCAAGCCCAGCCATTGTGGAGACACATGTCATGGCCTGTTTGATCAAAGCCCATTCTGCACGTAGGACTCAGTGGTGTCAGGCACAGGAGAGGGCAAGCCTTGTCAGCCAGAGACTGCTTGGGAACACCCAGCCCGAGAGCTCCGCTCCTCTGCCTGCTTGGATCGCTGCTGGGTCTGCAGGGTTCCGCCTAGTCTGTCCTTTTTTCTGTGTGAGATGGTCCCCGCATGCTCTCAGGAGACCAGGAATGTAAGAAGCTGCTTTAAGCCTACGTGAAGGGACTTTCTGTTGACAGCCTGTTCTTGTGAACCATGCATGCAGCCATTGAACTACCCTGCACTCACAGGGCCCGGGGAGGGGGTGGGGGGGCCCCCCCGCGAGCGAGGCCTCGCTCCCGCGGTGGTGCACGTCCTCCCACACCGAGGGCTGCTCTTGTCAGCGAGGTCTTCTGGTTTTCAGGGGGAGTTTGTGAATGAGTATGTTGGCGAGCTGATTGACGAAGAGGAGTGCATGGCCCGGATCAAGCATGCACACGAGAATGACATCACCCACTTCTACATGCTCACCATAGACAAGGTAACGCTGGGCGGGCCCGACGAGCCAGAGAGCTGCATGAAGATGAGACAAGTTTGGTGCCAGCAGAGATAAAGTTAAAATGGGTGGGGCTACAGTGCCCGTTACCCCGACATCTCTAAGGAGCACATCTTTCACCCGCACTGTGACCAGTGACACCCTCTGCAGGCTTCCTCATTGCTGTGACCCCGAAAGTCAGGGCTCCGAGTGTCTTCATGATGTGGAAGACCTTGGCCTCTGGCTGTTGAGGGGACAGCCCATGGCTGCCCATCCTTAACCTGGTGGCACTGGGCCATGTGGTCTGTGTCCCAAAGATGCACGCATTCACTAGTAATACCCACAAGCACACACAAGTTTGTGTGAATTCACAAATGCCTTGCTTTACGTGTGTGGCCTTTTAAGAATCATGTTCGCAGCTTGACCTGTTTCTCTCCTACCCCGTGGGCTCAGAACCCCTGTGCTGTGCAGTGGGTCCCCATCACCCTGAGGAGATACTGCTTCTGCGGGTTATCTGAGGGGCTCCGGCACGTGCACTCGGGGACCTCTCACAACAGCCGCGCGCGGCCGTCAGGGTCAGGAATGTCCCTGTGCGGGTGTCCCCGCAGTCTGCAGCCCTTTGCTGTCTGGTTTGTACTGTGGGCTCATGAGCTCCTTGGCCACTTTGCACTGGGGTTGCACTCTTGTTCTCGTCAGAGGCTTTCGCATGTGTTTGTTGATGTGCCCGTGGTCAGCCAGGCAGAAGGCCAAGGTTGGCCCTGGCTCCTTGGTCCGCCCCCTGCTGGTGGAAGTCAGGGTGTGGGGTCCCTGCCCTTGTGCTCACTGGCGTTCACCAAGGCTTGGTTCTTCCTACATGATCCCGGCCTGCCCGCGTGAGCAAAAGAAGGAGGGCTGGTTTGGGGGTGTCCTGTCCAAGTGGCCCTAGGACTCCACGGTTTCCAGGCCAACAAGCATGTCTCTGGGCTGCCACTGTGTACTTTCAAGAGGCAGCCTCATTCTGGTTGTGACTGACTGGAGCCCTGGTTTTCCTGTAGGACCGTATCATCGACGCTGGCCCCAAGGGGAACTACTCGCGCTTCATGAACCACAGCTGCCAGCCCAACTGCGAGACCCTCAAGTGGACGGTCAACGGAGACACGCGAGTGGGCCTCTTTGCTGTGTGTGACATTCCTGCAGGTACCACTGGGCTGAGCTGGGAAGACTACGGGCAGATGGGCCAGGGAGTGCTCTGCTCTGCTGTGCACCTCAGCTCTGTGAAGCAGCGTGGGAAAGCTGTGGGGTCATTCTGAGTCAGTGCTACCCTGCAGGTCGCAGAGCTAACTGGTGGTCTGCTCTAATGCAAGCGCACCTGCACTGTGGCGTTGATGACATTCCCTACAGTGCACCGGCACTCCTTCCACGTCCTCCCTGGCATTCCCACCTGCCTTCTCCCTGCCTTCTCAGCGTTCTTCCTGCACAGGTGCTGCCCTTCGACCCCAGGTGGTTGGCTGCTCTGAGGGTTGCATGGCTTCCTGGCCTGCCTGCTCGCCTCCTAGACAGGCCTGTCATGTTGCTGGAAGTTGAGCTACAGGACGAGTTCGGTTCCAGGACCATGCTGTCAGATACTTGCACCCCATTCCCAGACTGCTCTCTTAAGGGCGATCCCAGTTTTGTCGTACCAAGAGCCTGTCAGGAGGGGATCTTAGTTACCCATTTCTGATTTATTTTATTTTAGTTGGGGGGTTTGTTTGTTAAAATTCTCTACTTATTATTATTTGATTGCTCTTGTTCCTGTTCTCAGCTGCAGGCTTCACGAGGTAGGGGTGATACCTCCTTACTCACCACCCATCCCCGCCTCTGGCATCATTGGGCAGGAGATGCCTGCAGGGGAGAGAGCTCCCAGGTGTTGACTAGGTACCTGGCTTTGATGGGCCCACGTTCTCTCTCACGGCAGCCTGCCTGCCGGAGAAGTCTGAGCTGCCTAAGCACTAAGCCAAACTGAGGTGGGGGCGGGGTGCAGGGCTTTCCACTACAGCCCCAGGCCAGGGCCTGCCCTGGAGGCTGCTGAGAAGACAGTGAGGAGCTGCTGCCAGGACTGGGTGAGGGGCTGTGATCTCCCGACTTAGCTCTGATGCTAAGACACTTTTGAATGGTTGGGAACTCAAGTGGATGGGTCTGGGGTGGGTGTTGGGATGCCAAGAAGGCTCTGCA